GGGATGGGGTGTAAGGGGCTGGAGGAGGTGACAGAGATAGGGAGGGGCTGGAGGGGGTTACAGAGGTAGGGAGGGGGTGGAGGGGGTGACAGAGATAGGGAGGGGGTGTAGGGGGCTGGACGAGGTGACAGAGATAGAGAGGGGGTGTAGGGGGATGGAGGAGGTGATAGAGATAGGGAGGGGGTGTACGGGGCTGGAGGAGGTGACAGAGATAGGGAGGGGGTGTGGGGGCTGGAGGGGGTGACAGAGATAGGGAGGGGATGTGGGGGCTGGAGGGGGTGACAGAGATAGGGAGGGGGTGTAGGGGCTGGTTGGGGTGACAGAGATAGGGAGGGGGTGTAGGGGACTGGATGGGGTGACAGAGATAGGGAGGGGGTGTAGGGGCGGGAGGAGCTGACACAGATAGGGAGGGGGGGGGCCTTACTTAGAAGGCTATGATTAATTTATTGCTGGGATTTGACCCACTGAGAACACAGACCTTCAATCAATCGGAAAAATCTGGGTTTGGGGTGGAAACTGTCGGGAAGCGAAGGGTGGTGGCAGGAGGAGGGGGGAGCAGGGTTTGTAAAGCCTGAGAGATGGGCAGCCAGTGCCCGCTCCGAGGTTCCTGCCCTCCCAAGGAGGCTGACGTCACCTCCTGCTCTGTTGAGAACTTGGCTCGAGCGCGGCAGCTCTGATCAATGGGCAAGAGAGCAGAAACCTGGCCAGCTCCTGCGCTGAGAGACCGAGCTGCACAGAGAGTAGCATTCAGAGGGAAAATGAGTCATTAACACAGGGACAATGCGCTGCTGAACCCTCGCCAAGCCAGCAGATCACTGTCCAGGGGATCGTTTACATAACGTGAACATGTGCCAAAGCACCCAGATACTTCTAAACATCTGGGAATCTGATGGTTTCTTTTTACAAAAATTCACACGCAGAATGTCAGCATTGCTAACTAGGGCAACATTTGCAACCACCCCCACCACCTTCCCAAGGGTGGAATTGAACCCAGCTCCCTGGCACCGTGAGGCAGCAGTGCTGCCCACCCTTCAATATGATGAGGGTTTCTGCCTCCATCACCCTCACAGCCAGTGAGTTCAAGATTCCCACCACCCTCTGGGTGAAAGCTATTTTCCTCACATGACCGCTAAACCTCCTGCCCCTTCCCTTAAATCGACGCCCCTGGTCATTGATCCCACCAAGGGGAAAGGCTCCTTCCTGTCTACCCTATCTATGCCCCTCATAGCTTTATACAATCGTGTCCGAACCTCAGTCTCCTGTGCTTCAAGGAAAACAAACCCAGTCCGTCCAATTTCTCTTCATCATTGAAACTCAACAGTCCCAGGCAACATAGAAGATAGGAGCAGGGGAGGCCATTCGGCCCTTCGAGCCTGCTGTGCCATTCTTCACAATCATGGCTGATCATCCAGCTCAATAGTCTCATCCTGCTTTCTCCCCGTAACTTTTGATCCCATTCGCCCCAAGTGCTCTATCTAGCTGCCTCTTGAATACGTTCAATGTTTTGGCATCAACTGCTTCCTGTGTTAATGAATTCCACAGGCTCACCACTCTTTGGGTGAAGAAATGTCTCTTCATCTCCATCCTAAATGGTCTACCCTGAATCCTCATACTGTGACCCCTGGTTCTGGACACACCCACCATCGGGAACATCCTCCCTGCATCTACCCTGTCCAGTCCTGTTAGCATTTTATAAGTCTA